CTCAGAGACATCAGTGAGGGAGTTGGTTCAGCCAGGTGTTGGAATCCTGGATTTCAAACCTTTATCCAAGATGTGAGAACTCACTGGAAGGGTCATCCTATGTTCCCTATCTGTAAAATGGGAATAACAAGGGCTTGCAATGACGATGATGATGATGATGATGAGTGCCACAAAATAATCAGTGATCAGAAACCCACACTTATTTTGGTTTGGTTTGAAGTATCATGGCCATTTCAGGGTTGGCCCTGGACCCTGATCTGTCTATCCAGAGGGGCTTTTGTGGAATTTGCTAGGTACTCACACAGAGCAATGAAACATGGTGAGGAGGAGGGCTTGTGCCCTACTTTTCCTGAGGTTGCTTCCTTAGACAAAAGAACTCAGCAGGGCCTTCCCAGGAAGCATCTTACGAAGTTATGGAAATGCAACACAGACCAGTCACCTTGATCTCAGTGGCAGCTGGCCTGGGGAGTCTGCCTCCCTCCAGATGTTGCTGCACTCCAGCTCCCAACATCCCTGGGCGTTGGCCTCGCTGTCTGGGGCTGATGGGAATTGGAAATCCCACACAACATCCAGAGGGTGCCAGGATGGGAACATTTCCTCCCCACCTCCTCATACTAGAATTCAGGGTCACTGAGTTCCAAAAGCAAGTCACTTGACTTCACACAACACACATCCAGCTTATGGAACTCACAGCCACAAGATAGTGGTGTTTAGTCAGTCGCTTAGACTGACTAAGGGTTTGGCAAATTCACAGAGGATAGCCTTTCTGTTAACAGCTGTCTGCAGAAGTAGTATAGGAGACAGCAGGGGAAAGTGGATGTCGCCTCCAGGTTCTCCTTGGAAGCTCCAGGACACTTCTGTTTCCAGCTGCTGCAGGATGCTGGTGCAATGCCTGTGTTCTTACTGAATTTCCTGCCTAGCTTTATATTGCCCTCTCCTGGTGGCAGGAGAGTATTGCATGTTTGCATTAAGGGTTGCTGCTGCTGCTGCTGCTGCTGCTGCTGCTGTTAACCTGGGTTTGCCCTCCTGGACTCTGGTCTTGCCCCATGCAGGGCAACCATGCAGAAGGGGTGGGGTGGTAGTGGTGCTGGTGGTGGGAAGACTGACAGAGAGACAGAGACACTTCCCCATCTGTCCTTACAGTTTGTTTTCCTCCCCATTGAATCCTGATCTCAATGTTTAGAATATTAATTACCAATTTCTCCAACCACGCAATGCACACAGCCTTCTTGGGAAACAGCAGGCCTGGGTAAAAAAGAAAAGAAAAGAACATTATTTTGTAAATGCTGCTGTTTTATTTAGTCAAGTCTGCTCTCCTTTCTTCCTTTTGGCCTCCGAGCGCTTGGAGATTGCACAAACATAGTGGCATTTCTCGTTGACTCTTACCCAGGGGGCCTCCACCACTCCTTAGAGAAGCCTGCCGTACCCTTGGTCTGGCTGGGGCTGATGGAGGCTGTTAAGCATCTGGCGGGCACAAGGTTGGGGAAAGCTGGCTTAGGGCAAGAGATACTAGGGTGGGGAGAGGATTAGACATGCATTAGATGTGGGAAGCTCCGGAGCAAAACCAGGAAACCCAGAGCTGAGCAGATGGTGCTGGCAGCTCTTGAGTTACCAGCATCGCCCAGCTTGCCCAGACAATGCTGGGGAGGTCACGGGCTGCTCTGGAGGGCCCTCCCCATCAATCCTGCCATCTGCACTGTGCTGCTGGCCTGGCACGCAAGGAGGCTGCTGCATTTCACATGCTTTCTTCTGACCCGTGGCAGGAATCTTTGCACAACCTGAAGATCTGAGATGGGCCTGCCTGTGTGTGTTAGTGTTGCATTGGGAAGGTTTTTGTAGAGTTTCTGGCAGACCTTATCATAGGGGCAGCCAATGTGATGCCCTGCAGAAATTTTGGACTACAGCTCTTGTCATCCCCAGCTATCAAGTCCAATGGTCGGAGATGATGGGCGTTGGAGAGAACAAAGTTGGCCTGCGCTGTCTTAAAATATGAATTCAGAGGGGTTGGGAATGCTCAGCAGTCTTTTCCCCTGGAAATATCTCTCCCCACCCCCACCCCAGGCAACAATTTCAGAGGCTTGGGGGCTGGTTGTGACTATGCACTTTTAAGAGGAGCCGCTTTCTCCATTCTGCATGGCATTCTCCTCTTTATTGATCTGCCTGAAAGGCAAAATAGAGCTCAAGAGGGAGAACTCCTTGCTTAAGCTGACCGTCCCCGCAGGGCTGCAGCTCGGAATTTGTGTCTCAACTGGTTCCCCGCTCCTTCTCCACAGGCCATCTACAAAATGGTCTCGTCTGTGATGAAGATGCCTGAAGATGAGTCAACTCCTGAGAAGCGGACGGAGAAAATCTTCCGACAGATGGATACCAATAATGATGGTAAATGAAAGGAGAGAAAGATTAAGAGGCAACCATCATCCTTAAATCCAGAGCTCTTAGATGGAAAGGCAGGCATGCTGATTAAATATATCAGTTGGGGCGGGGGGCGGGGAGAGTGACAGGAGGATGACCCACACAGTGATTTGGCAAAGCTGGAGGTCAAAGGTGGTGGGAGGCAGGGAAGGAAAGCCAAGACGCCTTCCTGCTGCAAGGACAGGTTTTAGCATCTGCTTTGCATGCAGACGGTCCTAGGTTCCATCCCCAAACGCATTTCTGTGTAGGATTGGGGAATGCCCCCTGGTCTGAAGCCCTGGAGAAGGAAGATCTCTTCCTGCTAACTCACCTGCAAGGTGGTTGCCACTTGGGAACAACCAATCTAGATGGTTTGGACAACAACTCCCATCAACCGATGTGAGTGCAGCTGTGAGATGGATGGATGGATGGATGGATGGATGGATGGATGGATAGCTCTGGACCCTACATATAAATATAATGCAGCAGCCTAAGGGAAGCTAAGCAGGTGCTCAGGTGTGGTCACTGGCTGACTTTGGAGTCTTGCCATGGGGAAGAGGTAGGGTAATAAACAGTAAAACAAGGGGAGAGGTGACAGGAAACCTCCACGTGCTCCTTGTGATGCTGAAAGATGAAAGGGCAGCCTGAAGAGAAAGGTTGTTAACTACGCACTGGGTTGGACAAATTGGACATGGCAAATCTTTGATCTCAGGGAATCCCATAAAAGGTGGGGCTTCTGGGAGTCCCATGCCACGCACAGGTGTGTGTCAGGTATGGGCCCTGATCCCTGGTCTGCCGCAACCAGTCCTGAGCCTGTGACGTTCTAGGCTCCCTTCTGAGGAGTGTTCATTTTGCTCTCCCCTGTCTTTCCTCCCCAGGCAAACTGTCCCTGGAAGAGTTCATCAAGGGCGCGAAGAGTGATCCTTCCATTGTGAGGCTGCTGCAGTGTGACCCCAGCAGCGCCTCCCAGTTCTGAGCACCCCCCGCCCTGTCTTCCCTGTGCAGCAGCAGCAGCAGCGGCAGGACAAGGCGGCTTTCGGAAGCGGAGGCGGCACCACCACCACCACCTCACTTGGCTCACGGTCTCTCCCCTCCCCAAGGAGGTGACCAGCTTCCCAGTTCTCCCCTTGGGGTAACGGACATGTCCCCAAGGAGGCAAATGGCACTGCCAACGTATTTCTGTCTTCTGACTCACAGGTTTCCTCTCTCCCCCTCCCCTGAACACTGTAGTTGTGTGTGAATGTGACACTGATGTGGGGGGTGAGGGCTCCTGTGTGGTCAGGACAGTGGCAGCAAGAAGGTGGAGCACACAGGCCAGCTCATTTCCTGAGGTGTTGGCATTTGGGTTTTGCAAACTGTTTTCCACACCTGACTGCTGCTTGTGATGCACTATAACTGTGACTGCATGTGTGTGTGTGTTTGTACATCTTTAATTACAGGAGCAGAATATGCTGCCTGGGGTCCAGTTCAGCCTCCTGAGAACCTTGCGCTGTCTCTTTCTGTAAAGCAAGCCCTCTAGGATTTGGGGCTGCCAAGGGAGACTCTTGGGAAACTGAATGAAATCTCAGAAGGAAGGAGGAGATGCGTGGGGGAGATGTTAAAAGATACGATGGGACAATGAGCAGGACTAGCAGTGGTCATTTGCTCAGTACTCTGTGTAGCTGTTGGCTTCTCGACCCTGGCTAGGAGAATATATTACGTATAAAACAGCCGCTGCCAACCTGGTTCCCACCAGATGTATCGGACTACAATTCCCATCAGCCCCAGCCAGCACCTATTGGCTGGAGCTGTTGGACGTTGTCACCCAATACATCTGGCAGGCACCAGGTTGGCACAGGCCAATGTAATATAAGCACAAATATACATGTTCACATCATTTAGGAGCATCTCTTTCCAGTATAGAGCTAGTATTTTTCGCCTACACTACATGCAAACCCTGGTTGTTGTCTGATTCACATGGAGCAGTCTCACACTTTTCAAGGGTGCTTGAACGCAAACAATCCTGTCTCACTGAAAGGTGCTGGGCCTTGATGGCCTTCAGGTGCCCGCAGATCAACATGGAAAGAACCTGAGAAGGAATCACACATTGACAGCATGTAGGGCAATTTATTTAGGTGGTTCATTCGTAACTCACACCTTCCTTGTGTGTTTGTTTCAGGAAGGACAGAGTGTCATCCTTGACCTCTGTTTCAAGCGCCACTGAAAGGAATAGCCCAAGCCCCCTTCCTTAAGCCTTCCCACATTTGTTGTCTCAGGGGGCACACCTTAGAGCACCTGGTGCAGTCGGGGAGAGCCCCTCCATCGGACCCTGAAAATCTGCAAGGGACTCCTCGGGTCTCAAGGCTGTCCATAGAGGAACAGCTACAGAAGCCAACTCCTCAACAGCCAAGGTTAGGCATTCACATCCCTTCAGCACTTTCACATGTCTGTAGTTTATTTATCAGTTTTATTTATATCCCATCTCCCTCTCTGAAAGATGTCCAAGGCAGTCAGTTATCAACATAAAAACACAACAATATCCAGTGTACAATAATAATAATAATAATAAACCCCAGTCATACGACTCCAGTGCCTACCCCCATCCAATGGCCTGGGCAGATAAAAACGTCTTCCATTTCCTCTTGAGCACAACCAGTTAATCCTTCACCACCATCCTTGTAAGGTAGGCCAATCTTCTCATTCCCTGTATTACAGATTGAAGGCTGTGAGAGAGCAATGACTCAGTTAAGACCAACGAATGGGTGTGAGATTTGACCCAGGGTATCCATATGCTCAGCTGGTTAAGAGCCTGGTGCTGATAATGCCAAGGTTGCAGGTTCAATCCCTGTTTGGGACAGCTGCATATTCCTGCATTGCAGGGGGTTGGACTAGATGGACCTCAAGATTCCCTTCCAACTATACAATTTGATACACATGGATGGCTCAGATTCAGCTAGCACTAATAAGAGAGTACTGAGGCTTCAATAAACAGACACGTTGTCCATGTTGCATGTTTCACCATGAGCTTCAGCGAGGCAGTTCCTGTTGCTGCATTGTGGGTGAGAGATCGGAAGCAGGCAGCTGGGCTACTACCTGTGCAGGCTGGCCAGATCTGGCTGCCTCCCTTCCCAGCCAAGAACCACGTAGGGCTTGGCCACACAACCCATGGGTGTGTGCTTTGCAAATAAATAAATGGGAAACCTGGAACCAGGCAATCAAAATCTGTTCCTTTGCATACATGTGCCTAGTGAACACCCACCCACATTCCTGCTTCTATGGAGTTGGGCTTTTATTTCTGCTCTTGGGGAGGAGGGCAAGCAGAGAGCAACAATTACCAAGAGCTGAAAGTCCACTTTAAATGAAGGCTGGGGTTCTCAGGGTGTGGCTGCAGGAGACACCATGGGGAGAGGCAGCAGGTATGGCGTGCCCAGATGAATCCCAGCCTACCCAGGAGAACTGTTGCACTAATGAATCAGTCTGTTCCCCCCAGACCACTCACCCCAATGGTCCTCCGGCTCTGGAATGCCTCTTTGTTAATCCACCCATCTCTAGAAGCATAGAGCATGCCCAGACAAGAGCTTTAGACTCCACCTGCCACATGTGCACTGAAGTCCATTCTTCCCTGCCCTGCTATTTCAGTGAGTATTTGCAATTGGTGGGGAGGGGGCTCAGTGGACATGGGCTTAGAACTTTAGCAGTAGGTTGGGGAGACTGTGCTCCTGCATGCGTGGCAAGCAGGATTAACTGGGTGAGGGAATGTGAAGGCACCCCAGTCAAATACAGTGAATGGTACAGCCCACACAACTGTTTCTGAAATGGAGGGCATCATCACAAGCTTGCTGTCCAGCTCTACTATCCAAGATGTGATGGAATGTTTTATGCTGTTCTGCGTGGATGAATAGTAGGAAGCTAAAATTGGGGGTTGGTATTCAGAGGGGCCCTGAGAGATGGTGCCCTTTGCAATTGACCCCCAAGGCTGGAGAAGAAGCAGAAGGAGCTGTGAGGCAAGAGGAAATGGCCAGTGGGGCAGAAGGTGGTGAGGTTTGTCACTGTTTGCCATGGCCTCTGCCAACCTGGTGCACTCCAGATGTTTTGGACTACAACTCCCATCAGCCCCAGCCTCATGCAACCATATGATGCTGAGGCTGATGGAAGTTACAATCCAAAACATAGAGGGCACAAGGTTGGCAGAGACCAATGTACAACTTGTTTAGCCGATTAATTAGCTGCCTCTTAACCCGTCAATGGTTAAATTAATGCATTAAATTTAAATTTCCCAAATCTTCAATGCAGATGGCCCTTCTAACATACTGAAGGCAGTGTCAGTTTAATTTACAATTTCACAAACAAATGCTACCACGCCTTCTTAGAAGGAAAAGGCCATCTTCCATAGATCAGTTTCCACTGCCTTCTAAATTAATGCAAAATAGCTTCCAAGAATTGCAGTCCCTCCAGTCAAAATTTGTCCCCCCAATTAGTCCAAGGAAGCAATGTTGATCAATGCCATGCCACCCACCACCCTCCTTCTTCAAAGTGGGCTGTTTGCTCACGACAGAGCTCCAGTCCCCCTTTCTACCTCAGAAATGGCTGAGAGTATTGCCACCCCTCCGCTCTGGAGAAGAACCCAGCTCCACCCCATTGCAGAAGTGGAAGCATCCGTCCTTCATCCATCCATCACAGGAGTGCATGCAGGAAGCGGGAGGGGGAAGGGAACCACAGGCTTTGTTTGTTTTTAATAGCTTCAAAAATAAAAGGTTTTTTTTTTTGTCTCAGTGCAATGGCCCGCAGAGTCATTTCAGATGCTCACGGGAGCCACGTGGGCCCGGCAGCTCCCTTCCTTCTTGGGGTCGATTTCTCAGCACAAAGCACCAGAGTGCTAATCAGAGCAGTAAAAGGTTTGGGCCTCGAGGGAGGCCACTGTTCTCCTGCTTCTGGAGCCCAGTTGCAAAGCTCTGGGCCTCGCCCACTGCGGAGAGGAAGCACGAGGGGCCATGTCCATGCAGACTGGAGCGAGGCTGGACTGCGAAGCAGAGGAAGCCACCAGATGACACGGCAAGAGCAGCCGCAATCTGGGCGGCGGCAACAACTGGCCTCTAGAGCCGCGCCGTCTCCATGCGGTCCAACCTCAGGAGATTGTGGCCCTCGCAGCTTTCTCTGGTCTCAGGCATGACAATCTGCAGGGAGACCTATAAATCAAAAAGGCCGGAATTAACAACAGTCCAAGTGCGGCAAAGCCACTTCAAGGTCATTTCTGTTTCTCAGAATGAATGTGTTGCTGCTTTTTAACCACACAAGGGAAATCTCACAGAAAACAATTGCTCACCGAAGGGGTAAATACTCAGCTTGTCACATGAGGGAACAGTCATCACATGGCAAACTGGGCAAGGCGGCAGGAGGAGTTCATCAGATCAGGAAGCTCACTTGTCTTGACAGTTAACCAGTTGTTCATGGGTCGGGGGGGCAGTTTGTAAACAACAGACATCTAGATGATTGGACCACATTCCTTTGATTAAAACTTTAATGAGCATTTGGAACAGATCCCATTGGCATTCATGAGAGTAAATATGGCAGCTAGGTCACCACAGATGTCTGTGATTTGCCACTGTCTCGTATTCAAACAGCTCTTCTGGGGTCAGTTGAAGGTGCTTCTTTTTCTGCCACAGTTTCCCCTTTGCCTTGATTGCAGGGCAAGACTCACTCAGGACACCAGCTCCAGAATGATAGGGATACTTCTGCAAGATCTTGCAGGAACTTGGGACAGCACTGCAAGAGTGTCCCCAAAAAGGCCCACCAAGAGGGCCTTCTGCCGCCCCCGCCCCCTGGCAGCAAGACGGAAAGCTTAAAAACACTGCCATTCCTGCATTTCACTTGTGGGACTTCGGCCAGCCGAACTTCAACCATGTGTGCTTGAAATAATGCAATTTAAATGTGCATAAGATGCAGTTGTGCTATATCAGTTGCTGGGAATCACAGCAGTCAGGCGCTGCTTTGTGGGCTCCCCAGAAGAGGCAGGATGGGCCCTCTTTGGCCAGATCCAGCAGCCAGGTTCTTCTTATGTGCCAAATCAGGTCACAGTGTCACTGTCAGGGTGGTGTATATGGAGCTGGCACACAGACACACTGATGCACAAATGATAGAAAGGTTCTGTTATTGGCAGGTATATTGCAAATTAGGTACGGCCAGAATTAACAAGATGCAAATTTACCCAATGAGTTGCAAATTGCTAATTATTTGACACTGGCCAAATTATTCAGAGGTGGTTCAAAGGCCCCAGAGGGCTTGAATTTGAATATTTGACAAGATTCTGACAGGCGTAATTGGATCCAGAAGTTTCAGGGTCCCAGCTGCATCAGAGGAGAAGGCCAGCGTTAAGAGCCTCGGCTGCCCTGCGGAATTGCTTTCAGTTTGCAGAGTAAAGGCTCTGCAGACCATTTGCCTACCATCTGAAGCTGCCACTGTTAACTCGGCGCCCTCTAGATGTTCTGGATCTCAGCTTATCATCAGCTTTAGGCAGCACAGCCACTATCACTGGGGCTGATGGGGAGCTGCAGTCCGAAACATCTGGAAGGCTTCCAAGCTGGCAAAGGCCAATGTGAAGAATGGAAGCAGGCAACTGACATAACCAGAGGGGCCGGTAGACTCCCAGCAGCCAACGAGGCCAGTGGGTTACGGTTAGAATTGGTGGGGCCCAGCAAACCCTGGAGGGCCACAGATGTTCCCTGCATTGTGGCATTTATTCGCTTATTCATTGCATTTATTATACTGCCTTTCTGCCAAGGCACCCTGTGAGGTTAAAAGGGTTAAAACAAATGATATTACATGTAAAGTTGGGTGGGGAAGGGGACAGTCCGGCTAGAGCAGTCCCCAGTATGATCTTCACCTGCCTCCCTCAGTCTCAGATCTTAGATCCTGCCTCTAATTTATTTGTTTTATTACACAGGTGGAACACCTCTGGCCCTCCAGATGCTACTGGACTGTCATCAGCCCACCTTAGCCAACAATCCAGCAACATCTGGAGGTGCAAGGAGCTATCAGAATTTGGGAGTGGTGGTAGAGTGGGGGAATCGCACAGCAAACCCTTCTGCAAAGTACATGATCAAAGGAGACAAGAACCTGAATCAGGAGGGTGGTGCAAGGAGATTTGTACCTTCTTCTTGCGTGTCCGCCTGTGACACAGCCTCAGATTCAGGAGCGCAAGGGTGATCAGGAAGCATCGGATGCTGAAGATGATCTCTATGGCATCCAGGAGGAAGGAGATGCTCCAAAGGACCAAAGCAGAGCTCTGTGGGGAGGGAGGAAAGAGGGCATGGGGGGGGGCTTCACATTTTTGGATCACCTAATGCAGCATTTGCAATCAACCCATGCAATCCAGGGCCAGAGTATATCACAATCCCACAAGGAAACGCAAGAGATGACCCAGCTAAGGTCTTGCATTAGCCGAATGAGTGTGCATGGACTCTAGAGACTGCTGCAAACTGCAGAGGATCCTCAGCAGGAAAAAGGAACAGCATTAAAGGGTCCCCAGAGCTTAAGAACTAAACCATGCTAGAACCCTAACGTTACACTAGAAGCCTTTTATAATCCCGCCCCCTCCATCTTAGCACCTCTCCTATTGCTTCTTCCAAGAGCTCCTTCATGGCAGGAGCCCACTTGGCAGACTTACATAGACCCGGGTGGGGTCAAAAGGGCACTCGTGTGCAATCTGGATGATATCCACGTTGGCAAAGGTGCAACGAGCCAGGAGGGATCGCCCATTGTTGATGAATGTGTAAACGATGGCGACGGCCAGCCCCACTGAGCAGAACAGCGAGAGGAGGGCACTGCTGATGCTGAGGGAGAAAACGGCCCATCTCTGCAATGGAGAGAACACAGTGGTGGGTCTGCTAGTCAAATAGGCCAGGCACACATGCCTTGCTGCAGCAGGGAGCAAGGGGTCCAAATCCCACCCAAAGTGACCATGGGAGAGGACACTCTAAGGTCGGGGTGCATCATCTGGGAGCTGAGCATAGAGCTCAGGTTTCTTGAACACCCACAAACTCCCAGGAACATGCAAAGTGTTTCTTTCACTGTTGTGTTTGGGCTCTGGTATCCATTCATTCATTTATATATTTCTAAAGATTTGTGGACAGCTTAATCACCACTCTCTTAAAGCCAAATTGAGATGCCAGGCATTAAATGTGACACACCTCAAAACCCACAGCCTGGCTTCTATGCCCGTCCCCTCCCCAAGCCAAGCATCCCCACACCGAAATTGACACAGCCACCATCCCAGAAAGCGGGTCGTCCCCCGTCCCCGTCCCCCCCCCCGCTCCTCGAGCAGCCCCAGGAAGGAGTCAAATAGATTGCAAGGTAGCAATGTGGAAACCAATCATTCTTGGGTGGGGCTCTTTACTCCCCCGATTCTTGAGCTGCAGCCAGTGGGGATATTTTACAACTTCTGAAGCTATCAAACTTTCCATGCCATCATCTCATCTCCTGGGTGGGGCAGGCAGCTGAGCTGACAGTAACTTAAGATAGGAGAGTACTTAGCTGGGGGTGGGTCTCATGAAAAAGAGGGTCTCCTGCCTGAAGGTCAAGGCTTCGATAAACAGCTGGGTGTAACTAAGAGCCTTGAAGGGCTCCTCCACTCGGAAACATGACCCGCCTCTTAAGGGAGATGCCTCTGCTCCAAGAGAGGGGTTTCTTACCAGTGATTTCCGGGATACATATCTGGAGAGCACAATCGCTGCTATTCCGCAGGAGATTGTCTGCAAAGGGGTGACAGATGACAGGAAAGAACACACCGCAAAGAGTTTTACAAGGTTACAAGCTGGGCTGTACGTGTGGGAAGCCAAATCTCCAAAATCCAAATGGTGCATTCAAGGGGCCATATGTGCGAATAAAGCACATTTGAGAACTTTGCACCATCTATTTGCACGTGGGGGACTAAAGAAGAGGGCAAAAAGGAGTGCTCCCCCAATTTTGGCTCTGGCCATTCCCACAGTAGACCAGAAGCCCCCAACCTCAAACAGAACACAGGTTCCCTACCTTAAAAGCACATCATTTCCCCCACCATAAGAGTGAATAGCAACCATTTATTTGTATGGAAGCGAGAAAAGGGGTTGACTCAGCTACACCATTGGCGGACTACACTGCAAGATACTACTACTACAACTTTTAATTGCTCTCTGCCAACCATATCCCAAACTGGAGCACATTTAGTTCATTTCCTAGAACTTCAAGGGCACCCTCTCTGCCTTTGCAGAGCTGGCCCTGAGAAGGCACGTCAGTCTTCCCTCCTCCAGCCAAGACCCTGCAAGGAAAGGCGTACCAAGATGGCAGAGATCACGGTCACAATGTTGGAGATGGCGTACTGCAGGGAAATGGTGTCATGCGGGTTGGCAATGTGCCGCAGCACCGTCCCATGGACCAGAGCGCTGGTGATGAAGTTTAGGTGGCCAATGACTATCAGGATGAGTCCTGTTTTCATCAAGAGCTTCTGGGCGCTGCTGGAGTCAAGGTGACCTGAAAGAGAGGAAGGCGAGGACTTTTTTCCAGGACTGAGTCTGGCTCACAAGCCACTCTCTCACCTAGACCCAGAGCATGGAATGTTGCAAAGTAAAACAAAGCCAGAGGAAAATTATTATTTATTGCATCCTTATTGCCCTGCCCTTCCTCCCATTGGGAGCACAATAAAAACAAGCTAGTTAGAAATTTTAAAAACCTCCCCCTTTCCCACGCCAGGCATCATGTCTCCCTCCCCACGCCAGGTACTTTACCCTTTCTCCAAACCAGCGGGTCAGCAAACTTTTTATGCAGGGGGCCGGTCCAACTGTCCCTCAGGAAGGCTTGTGGAGGCTGGATTATCTATTTATCTATCATCTAGTCTATTATCTATCATCTATCTTCTAATCTATCTATCTATTATCTATCTATCCTCATTCATCTATCTATCTATCTATCAAATCCGTAGCTCATCATCCTATCTATTATCTATCTATCTATCATCTATCATCTATCTATCTATCTATCTATCTATCTATCTATCTATCATCTATCTATCTATCTATCTATCTATCTATCTATCATCTATCTATCTATCTATCTATCTATCATCTATCTATCTATCTATCTATCTATCTATCTATCTATCTATCTATCTATCTTTAAAAAAACCAAATTGCTATGCACACTGCGAGGGGGACAAGTAGTCCTCCTCCTCCACCACACACACACACACACACACAACCCAGCCACCTTCTTGGCTTGCCGCCTGCCTCATTCGCTGAAGGGCTGGCAGCGGTGGCACCAAATGGGCTTCCTCCCCGCCTAGAGAAAGCATCCGGCCCCCAGGCCTTAGTTTGCCGACCCCTGCTCTAAACTTTAGTTTAGAAAGTTCAGGTCCCAAACATCATAATCTTCCCACATAGGGAGGGAATTTTATTTCAGCTGCTTGATAGCTGCCTTTGTTGTCCTTTTCTGCCCCTTCCCCAATTCTACAGTATCCCTTTTGAAAGGTCACAGAACTATATACATGGAAGACGCCAAGTGTGGCTGTGCCACAGATTTGTATAAAAACATCACGTGAGTTGATGTAACGTGGCAGTTTTATGTTGATCCTTTCCTAAGAATCCCTAGAATGGAATTTCCCTTCCACACCCCACACCCCCAGGCTTCCATGTGCTACAACATTTTCACCAAGTTTTCCTGAAGTGATCCCAAGAGCTTGTTCCTGCTCGGTCACTGCCAGCTTTGACCTCCAAATAAGGTATATTTATGTGAAACTGGATGTCACTAAAGCCCACTGCTTTCTTCCTCTCCTTTCTCTGCAATGTTGTCATCTGCCAGAGGGCCAGAGCAATTGACAGTTTCTCCTTGCTCTGGCAAGCAGATAATGAGGCTTTCAAGTTTTATTATCAACTTATTTTATTAAACCCTGTCCTTCCAAAGGAGCTCAGGGTGGCAAACACTTCAGTAATAAAAAAATACTTTAAAAATAAATAAAAACATTTAATTGAAGCTGAATGTTGGAAGATTCAGGACAGATAAAAGACAGCTGTACTTCATGCAGCTCATAATTAAACCATGGAACTTGCTCCCACAGGAGGCAGGGATGGCCACAAACTTGGATGGCTTTAAAAGAAGATGAGTTAATTCATGGAGGAGAGGGGTCTCCATGGCTGTGCTCTGCCTCTACAGTCAGCAGCGTTATGCCTCTGAATATCAGCTGCTGGAAACCACAGGAGAGGAGTGTTGCTGTTGCTCTCAGGTTCTGCGTGTGGACTTCCTATTGAGGATCTGGTTGGCCACTGTGAGAAGAGGATGCTGGACTAGATGGGCCATTGGCCTGATCCAGCAGGCTGTTCTTATGTTCTTGCCTTTTAAGCACAAGCTGCTTAAAACATCTAAAACAATACTTACATTATTTTAAGATTAAAGATTAGGATAAACAAAGAGGGGAAGGATTTGCTGAACTAACAAATTGAACTGGAATACAAAAAGGGAGGTGTGAGGAGGTCCGGGAAATAAGCAAATGAAAGAAAGTGATGGAAAGATGGAATTGTTTTTTATCTATTTTTAATTTGTATTTTTCTTTTTTCTTTTTTCATTTTGTAAAATTCTAATAAATATCTTTTTTAAAAAAAACATCTAAAACAATACTTAAAAGAATCTAAAAATTTAAGAACAGATGTGACAAAATCATGTGGTCTGGATATGTCCTCTGAAACAGGAGTTTTCAGCAGGCATCTAGAGGAGCACAGGAACGGCACTTCCCTAATGTCAATATTTTATTTGTTAGCCACCTAAAACAGGGTAGTTCTCTAGGCAACCTACAATCAAGTTTTAAAATTACAAAATTGTTTTAAAATGGCCATGAATTTTTTTTTAACAAATCAATATATTAAACATGGAAACATCACCAACCTTCACAAGAAAACAAAGAGGTTTGTGAGAGCTTAGCATAGTGGAAGTCAAGAGAATGAGGAAACTAACCAAGTAGAAGCTGGGTACTGCTTCCCTTTTCTTTGACGGGGTTACAACTTCATGCCCAGCATGAATTGTTTGCATTTCCAGTTAAATGCTAAATGCTCCATTTAAGCCGCTGAAGGTCTTTTGCTAAAGTTCAAGGTGTTTTACAAGTTGAGCCTACCATTCAGAAGCTAGCACCCCTGAGTTTAAGGGAGTTTACTCCCAGGAAACCATACACAGCATTGCGGACTTGCTATAGAGCATAAAATAGCTAAATCCATGGATCAGCACAGCTGCTGCCTGCACTCCTTGGTGTGTGTGTGTGTGTGTGACTGCAGGAGGTGTCATGATGAGCTCCTGCTCTTGTACGTGAGTGGTACAGCCCAGCAACCCAGTGCCATGGACTGGTGGGCAATAGTGAGTCACCCTAATCCAGATTCTGATCTGCCTTTGGTGGGAACTAGATGTGCAGGCAAGCAGATTTTTCTTAACGGTGACGAGGCAAGCCACACACCACAAGTTCAGTGCACAGGGCTCAGGATTCTTCAAACTGTGAGCCTTGGGCCACTTTCAGGTGGACCGTAGCACCCCAGCCTGTTCAGGACCTCCTCACTTGCCCTGCCAGAGCCTTTGGGCTGGACCAAAGCCAGCCTCTCCTGCTGTGTAAAGGCGGTCCCTGGGAGACAGGGAAGTTCAAAGGGGAAGAAGAAAGGAAGGTCTCCTTCCTTTGAAAGGGTCAGCGGTGCTGAAGGAAACTAGAAAGCGAGAGAAAAGCCTAAGATTGAAAATGCTATTCTCATACAAATTTTCAGAGCACTTCACAGCTTAAAGCCAAACAAAGTGGGGTCCAGGACAAAAGCAGAATAAAACACAAGCTTTGGAAACAATAAAATCAATTCAACAACTTCCAAAACCAGCAAAAAAAATTATCCAATATAAAAATGATAATCCATAAATGGTTGGGGGAAAGCCTTCCTAAATAACAAGATATTCAGTAGGTGCCTAAACATCAACACTCCAGGTGCCTGCCGGATTTCAGCTGGTCGTTTATTCCAGAGAGCTGGAACTCAGACACTAAAAGGCCTGTTTCTAGTACAGGCTAAATGCAACTCTGGGGCAAATGGCACTCTCAGTGGTGCCTCATCTGAGAAACACAGTTGCTGGGCAGCAATATAGTGGCGAGGAGGAAATAGATAGAAATAGAGAGAGTGGAAATAGAAAGAAAAGAGGTAAGAGGGGAAAGCTGTTATCGGAGGAAGAAACACATATAAAAGATCAAGGGAAGAAAGGCACTGGCAGAGAGGGTTTTGGGGGGGGTAGGGATAAGGCACATGCTGAGTGTGGTAGGAAAATGAGTAAAAAATACTTTTACTAGTGTGGCAGACGCAAGGGCTATAGGGCTTTCCTGGTGGTGGCCCCATGCTTGTGGCCCCACCTTCCTACAGAAACTACGAAAGGCCCTTTCAACACACATTCAAAACAAGCTATGAGGGCCATTTTGTTCCCTTCTGCCTTTGTTTGACAACATTTTAATGCCAGTGATTCTAATTCTTATGTTTCTAACCCCTCTGCAAAGTATTTTAATTGTATCTCCTTTGATTGAACATCACCTTGGGAGGTCAAAGCCCTAAGTGATGGACTATAAATAAATACTTTAAATAAAGAGCTAAAACATTGCAGATTTGGTAGGCTCCTGATTTACAATGCCTATGCTGTGTTTCAGCTGGAGTTACCACAGACACATACAATATCTCCTGAAAAACAAGATGAAGAAAGGACAATTGGAGGGTAAACCATCTCCTTTTAAAGTATTCCAGGGAAGGAGGATCTTGCTTGCTCTGACCAACAGTCCCAACAGCTGCTGCCAGTCAATGCAGACAGTACTGAGAAAGATGGACCAAGAGCCTGAGTCAGTACTAGACAGATTCCTGTGTTATGTTCTTATAGCTCAGTCGGTAAAGCCTTAAACTCTTCATCTCAGGGTTGTGGGTTCAAGCCCCATATTGGGCAAAACATTCCTGCATTGCATGGGGTTGAACTAGATGAGTCTCAAAATCCCTTCCAATTCTATAAATCTATTATTCCTGTTGGAGAGCCTGGGGTCCTGCAGATAATATTAGACTCCAACTCCTATCAGCATGGCCAGGGATGATGAGTTGTAGTCCAACAACTTATGTAGGGCTGCAGATTCCCTAGCCCTGGGTTACATGGACCAAAGGTCTGATGCAGGAGGCTATTGAATGGCTACATCTTGGACCGACTCTACCGTGACACCATGCTAACTCCCAGAAGCCTCAGCCAGGCAGATGGAAGCTTCTGGCAAAACAGTTTTTAAAAAATTCCTGTAAGGCCATAGAACAGGTTTTAGGGGACCCACTTTTTGCTGATTTATCACACTATTTGCTTTCTTATGGTGACTTTGTACTTTCATTATATGTTTGGAGAAGGACAGGACAGAAATGAGACTATAAATCAAGATACACAATGTACTACCATATGCAAAGGTATACAAATTGTACCGAAAAATTACACCTTTTCTATTTCCAGCCCCACTGCATCTTTGCCCATTAACATTAATCTTGCCAGATTGCTGGTGTAGTGCCCAATATACAGGATGATATACATTTCATTTACTGAAAAATGCTGGATATGGGGAGGGAAGAAGCAACACAATAGGTTAACAGTTACAAGAGTCAATAGTTAGGAAGTCAAGTTGACCTAACTCAGATGCAGGAACAAGTTTGGAATCATTCTCAATATTCCCCTGTGGTGCTTATCTGCACCTGTACAGTATTTGCACTGTGTGCATACTTTATTGCTCTTTGGACTAGGGCACAGGGAAGGTCTCTCAGAGGCGTAACTGTCAGCTAGGCCAATGTTGTTCAATCTTGGGTGCCAAGGCACTGTTGGACTCCCATCAGCCCCAGCCCCCAAAGCCAATGGGATGATATGAGTTGGCATTGAACAATATCTGGGAATCTAAGGTTGAAAAACCACTGGGTCGGGCTGTCAGGTGGCAGCTGGGAGTCCCCAGCCACAGCCTGACAAAAGGCACAACTTTCAGACCTCCAGACTTGTCAGGCGTTCCAGGCCTGAGGATCAACACTTCCCTTCTAGAAAGGAAGTGAAGGAACCTCAGTGGCTGTTCGTGGGGCAAGATCCTCTTTACCACAACTGTGTTGCAGAACAGAAAGATGCAGAGCCACCTTCCACAGATCAAGGCAGAGAGACAGAGACAGAGAGAGGAAGTGGGGAGACAGACACCTTTTCAGAGGGAAAATTTCACACCATTGGATCAAGGGTTTATGGAGAACATTCAGGCATGTTGACTCAGGCTCCATAAGGAAGTCCCAGCAAGGTGGCATTTCCTTTGGAAAACAAGTCTGTGTCTTTAAAGATTAACCACTCGTTAAACAGCAAACAGCAATCAAGGTCATCTTCCTGCTAGAACATCCCAAAGTCTACAGGCTGCAAGTAGGGTTTTTGGGTGGGGGGAGGAAGGAGAAGGTAAAATTTTAAAGGACATTCAGCATGCTAGTGGTTTAGACTCCTGTTTTTGCTCTTGCAAGTCAATGTGGTAACCGGTGTGGGCAGGTACTTCTCAAGAATCTGTTCTGGAAATCATCTTTGTAGACAGGTGATTTCCCAGGGCGCACAGTCTTCCTCCCTGTTTTCTTCACTTGTCAACATTTCACTTAAGCACCTTAGGCACAGGTGCCTGCCTTTTGGGCAGGGGGGGGAATTATGAAAATTTGTAAAGTCCCATGTGTGTTGATGGTTCTAACTAAAGCTGTTTTTAAAGAACAAAAAGCACCAAGAGCTTAAGAAGAAAATAGGAGTTCCATTTTTATTCTACTAGCCAGCCTTAGGCAAATCACTTTCTCAAACACTGTGCCTTGACCTCATATACTACTGAAACCCAGGATCCTTTTGGATGCCACAGAACAGCCTTCACCAACTTTGTGCCCTCCAGATGTTTTGGGCTGCAACTCCCATCAGTCCCAGGACCAGCACAGCCTTGCTGACTGACACTAATAGGAGCTGTAATCCACTAGCCAGAGGGTGACCAGGTTGGCTGTCATTGAAGATGCTGAGCCAAACCTCTTAAGCTGTGTTTGGTTGCATCGTGGGACACTTGGCACTGTTGCAAGGAAGCCTGAAGGTACTGACACCTTTCTAGGAAGGGAAGTACCAAGGGTCTGCCCTGCCCCGCTTGCCTTTGACTTTGGAGAGGAGCCAACTCACCCAGCCGACACATCTTTGCAGTTTGGGATCAGGCCATCAAAATACATGAGTTAAAGTCCTCTGTTCTCGTTGTCTCTGCAGAGCACCTGGGAGCTGGCCTTGTTGCAGCTGCAGCTGCCTTGGCACTTCTTGACCATCCACCTATTTCGCGCTTCTTCTGGTGCCGCCTGGCTCTCAGCATCAACCCTCCTCCTCCTCCAGCCCTACAACTGCAATTTGAAATCAGCTCTTCCTGTTTGACCAGCTCTCCAGGCTCTAGAACAAAGGGCCAAACTCCACCTTCTCCTTCCCGCAGGAAATGTGATTCACCTCCCAAACCCCACCCACTCTGGAGTTCCTTGCTCCAGCCTTCCTGACTTGCTCCCCAGGTATGTCAGCTTGACTTAACATGCTCAGACTCCAGTGGCTTGTCTGATCTAAACTTCCCACCCTGCCCCCTCTGCATGCTTTTCACTGCAAGAGTTTTGGTATTTATTTCTCTTCCTCTCAGCTGCAAAACATTTGAGACAGAAAATGTGGCTCATGCGCATTCCAAAATAGAATCAGGAGTGTCATTCCAGAGCAGTAACTTGAATATCTTTTGATCAGCCCTGCATTTCAAGGTGCCCAAACTTGCAATTCCGGATGTCACAAATTCGAAGGCAGCCGAGTCAGGTGCACAACAATCTTTCTGCATGTCTATTCTTAGGGCCGTTGGCTTCTTGGATTCACTTTGCTGTAGTGCCACCACCATTTGCCAGACAAAAATACACACACAGCAATTTGTAGTTCTTATGGTAGACTACGCAGCCAGCACTGCTCTCACAGAAGCCACTTGGTCCCATTCCTCACACGCTCTGGAAAGCCAGACCATAGTGCCCACTTTCCAACCTCCAGAAGTGCTTTAGAGTCAGAATTTCTTTGAGAGGATTCATGCAATTGAGTTATTGTAGCACCTTGCGCATTTCGTTTTCTGCATGTTCTGATTGCCCCCCCCCCCTGATTTCACATACTGTATATATGCAACTGTGCTCAGAGGAAACTGCATATTTACTGCTCTTTCCCTTTGTTTGTTGTAAAACATTTGAAAATAATATCTTTTAAAAGTTAATATGTTTACCAAGAGATACAGGAAGGGCAAGGAGCAAGCAGGCGCACAAACATCTGGTGCTCTTCTAAGGCAACGTGAGCCATACCACCAACAGCAAGTGTGCTCTGGTAATTTCCTAAAGCTGGCTGACTGGCTATCTATCTAATTTTATATCACCCTCCATTTGGAGATCTCAGGGCACTTCACAGCATAAAAATACAAGATAAAAACACAAAATACATAATAAAAACAAAAACAACCCAATACCTCCCCCCCCAAATCCCCACATTTAAACGGATATAGCATGTTTATCAGCCAAAGGCTTGGTTGAAGACTTCTCTTTGTCAGCCAATTGGCTCCCAGTACGTTTCCGAGCACAATTCAAAGTGTTGGTGCTGACCTTTAAAGCCCTAAACGGCCTCAGCCCAGTATACCAGGCAGAGGGCCTTCTTGGTAGTGACGCTCGCCCTGTGGAACGCCTTCCCATCAGATGTCAAGGAAATAAACTATCTGACTTTTAGAAGACATCTAAAGGCAGCTCTGTGTAGGGAAGATTTTAATGTTTGATGTTTTGTTGTGTTTTTAATATTCTGTTTGGAGCAGCCAAGAGTGGCTGGGGAAACCCAGCCAGGTGCGCGGGGCATAAATAATAAATGTTGTTGTTGTTGTTGTTGTTGTTAGAACCTGAACTCGTCCGCCCAGTCTGTATGTCTCTTTTACCCAATTTCAAACTGAGGTGAGTGAAGAGAGAGCAAACCACTTAGGAACATATAGGAAGTTGCCTTATCTGGAATCAGAATATAGGCACAGCTAATTCAGCGTTGTCAGCAGTGACCAGCTCTCCAGGTTTCAAACAAGGGACATTTCCCTACACCACCTGAAAATGCCATGGGTTGAACCTGGGATCTTCTGCATGCAAGCAGGTGCTCTGCTACTGAACTATGGCCCCTTGCTTTCTTCCTTTGCTGCATGGCTTTTAGCTTTTCCATCTCATTCACCAATAGGAGAGTTTGGCTTGCACTGCAGATTCTGGGATAATCAGCTATACTATCAACGCCCACCAGCTAAGTGCCTTCAGCTATTAAGCTGTAACAGAAACCTCAAGAGGTTGCCAATTTTTCACATCACACAACAGAAAGAGACAGAACAGACTCATAGAGCTGGGAAGGACCAAAATGCCTAGTTCCAAGTGTCATCCATTCCCCAAGGTCTCCCTCAGATCTCCAGACAATCCAGATCACTAGCAGAGAAATTTCAGGTACTCATGGAGGCCTGGTTTCAAAGGACTCAATAGAGCAAGTGAAGCTGCATTGCAAGCAAAATGAAAGCACACCATCACCACATGCACATCCTGGAATCATAACCAGTCTGGGCTAGAGGGAGATTCCTTCTTAAACACAATTGAGTGCTTCAATAGGATTTTTTGGTGGGAGCTGCTGAAGGTCAAGGGTATTTTAACATTACTCTCAGGGAGTCTCCAAATTTCCCACATCCATAGTTATAATGTTAATACCATGTTCAGAGGCTACTCACTACCAGCACATACAGTCATTCAGCAGCGGGGGGGGGGGGGGAGATGGGATTGCAGGGCCACTCTGTCCACTCTGCTTGAAGATTAGCTCCATCAGGCTCCTCCTTCAGCTGTTATCTACAGCAACCATTCCACTAGGCTGTAGAAGTGAGATGGGACTGTGGAGCCTCTCAACCAGCATTACTGGAAGATAAGCAACTTTTGGCTCCTCTTCTCCTTGAAATATTTTCATTTTAGCTGATCAGTTAAGGAATAAATAGCACCTGAGTTTACTTTTTTCCATCCTCCTTCCCAGTCTGTTTTCCTTTTGAGTCATGTATTGAGACTGCAAGCCTGGGGGCAGGGACTAACATTTGTTAAGTGCTCTGGGAGCCTTTTTGGGGTGAAGAGCAGGATAAAAATGCATTAACACAGAATCATTCTCTGTCAGGCCCTGCTTGTGAACTTCCTAGAAAGATTTGGTCACCACTGTGGGAGATAGGGACTGGTCTAGCAGTACAGATCCTGTGCCTTATTCTCTCACCACGCATAGGGCTGCTATCAGTATTCCAGCTGTGTGTGGGGTTTTTTGAGAACTTTCATTGTAACTTCTGTATTATCTTCTACATGCCACCATCACTGGTATGTCAGGGACACACACAGTCAATTATTCACATCACCAGTATCGTGACAGTCATTCATTATTAGGTTCAACTCGGATAGCACCCCATCCATTTCTGCACAGGACTACCAAACTGGTGCTGCTCTGTACTGCTGCTCCTTCTCTAATTTTAGAATGGAGCAGTAATGACAGCTATTTCCTCTCCTTGATTGCACTTGTTTTAACTGCTCTGCTCCAGAGCTCATTAAGGATGAAAAATGCTGAAATATTTAGAAATTCAAACAGCAGTTTAACAGTTGGGCATCTTGCATAAGGCTACAAGAATAGAAGTGTAGGAAAATTTGGCTGTAAAGTGCTTCAGTCATGAATTTTGTATTGTGGAGGCAGCATTCACAACTAGCCCTTGAACTGGAGTGCAAGGGGGATGCAGGCTTCAGGCCGGATGCAGGTGTCTTGTCCTGTGCACACAACACTTTGTATACCAGATACCAGAAATTGCTCAGGCAAAGAGAATGGGAAACTTGGTTTTGGTTACTGAACAGTGAACTGCTGAACAGTTAAGTCAGAGCAAGTACATGGTACTGGATCCTCAGGACCTATACCACTTCAGAATGAAAGTAGTTGTCACATTTTTAATACATATAACCTCCCTCCCAAACATGAAAAGATAGTGTTATCAGGGGAAAGTTTCCATTTTCTACATGCAGGAAATGTTTGACACTGGGGAGCTTTCAAATATGCAAAACAAACCCACAAAGGCTTGAGGGGACTGTACCACATAGTATTCCTACATATTTGGATCTCCACTTTGCCCTCTGAGAGGCATTCACTCTAAACACCTCTGCATGAAGGGTTAAGGGTGTGTGGGTGGATGCGCATGCGCGCACAGAAAAGCAAAGCTGCTGATACAAGGACCAATAGGATGTGGAAGAGTCAAATAAATAAATAAATAAATTTTCCTGAAGAGCCTCTTTATACTTCTGCTATCTTACGCTGCCTTTTACACTTATTCCTGTTATACAATGTAGGGGTACCCAATGGGGCTATTGCTACAGGACATACATTTGTTCCACTTCATCCCTCCAGTCACTTGCCACACTCCAGTTGCAAGCTGCATCAAGCTTTCCTCTGGACTCATTTCCATCAGGCTATGCCTCCTAAATGAAGTGTACTGTTGTCAAGTGTACTTATCACTTCAATAGTCTCAGAGCATTCAACACCACAGTATCACTGAGTGCTCTGTCATGATGCAAAGCAAACTTGCAACTGCAGGGACCTAAGCAGCCTCTGGAGGGCAGCAAATCCAAACTTTCACCTTACTCTTGTTGGAAGTATGTGTGCCACACCCAGGCATCTACACAGCAGCACTAATCAGACTGAGTTAGAGGTACATCACTTATATTTTATTTTATTTATTTATTTTTAAAGAATGGCAAACTGCCACATGTAGCGCCTTACTTGGATGTGTCTGGAGTCTTGGAAGCTTGACTACCCTACGTTCTCCTACAAATGGACCTTGAGCTTGTTTGGAGGTTCTAGCAGGGGAGCGCAGCTATCATATACCCTTGACCGAAGAACGGCACACTCCTTCTATCTGGGATGGTCGTCCTCTTCCACCGAGCGCGCAGCTTCGGGAGGGACGCACATGGAGCGGTGAGGGAGGAAGGGGACACCCGCCTAGCCAGCCAGATCAGCCGAATCAACCCTGGCGATCAATGGGGTGACAGATGTCGCAGCCAGATCGCCCTCACATCCCATCACTTATATTTTATGGCAAGGAACAAGCTTCACCAAGGCAGGAGCGCAACAAGGAAAATTCAGAACAACTTACTAGTCCTATGAAAAGGGAGGACAGGATCCACTATGAATGGCAACAGGAATCTTTATTAAAGGCGTTCTTTAGGCGTATGTTTGGCAGACATACGATGTACACGCACACTTTTATGTACACTCTTACACAACTCACAGAGCATCACCAAGCGCTTGAACCAATAAATTAAAAAAAAGAGAGAGATCAAGGGTTTATTATCGTGTAAGAAATGCCATTTCCCCAGAGTCAGGTTAGGGCAGCAGTCTGGGGAATCAGAAACAAAAGCCAACAATGA